GTGAGAAACCCAAGAATCAGGCTTTGCTGCTGACTGAAATACAGGGGGTCAGGGGACCTCAGCTGCTTGTGACCAACCTCCTATACTAAAGACTGTAACATAGACATGGTTATTTATGTTAAAACCCTAGTTGGAACTATCATACAGCTTCACCTTAAACACAGGTCTCCACCTGTACTGTGGGTCTTGATTGACCCTTCTAGAAAAGTTCACTCTGTATGAACAAATTCCCTAATCAATCAGGTTACTGCCCTTGAGTCCCAGTGGAGCCACCAGTGGAGTCACCAGTTGTTGGCACTGGAGAGCATAATCTTTCTGAATGAGACTGACTACAACCCCTTCTGTTTGATAATAGGTGAATTTTATTGATACACAGTGATAGCAGATATATCTAATGCAAGCAAAGCAAGCAAAATGACTACACAGTCCTATTTATTTACTAGTCCTAGGGTTTCACAAGGAGATGGTACATCCAGCCAGCATGCAAGCACCACCTCGTGGTTCTTCCTTGAAGGATGTCAGCAGCCTTGGAGGTTGGGGGGTAGCGGGGAGGTTGATGCCCAGTGCTGCCATGAAGACCTCTCCTTTTGTATGGTTTTTCTCTTGATGCCTCTTCATTTCAGGGTTTTCATTTGCCTCATTTGCTTGGTTTTCCTGTGGTTGTCATGCTTTCCATGCTCTGCCTTGTCAGTCTAATCCTTTGTTTCTTTGAACACATCACATACGTACATCTTAGTTTGGTCATTTGCTAGTACCTCAGTTTGATCATTCCGGGCCTCCTAATTTGGTCATTCCATCAAAACTGGGATCCCAGGGGCTGTTTGCCAAGTTACAGCTGGTCATTGTGACCTGATGCTAATTCTGCATGTTTCTATTTTGTGATGGGTTTTCAGGGAACATAGTGATTGTTTTGCTGCTGCATGGTTTCATTTTCCCAGGATGTATGTGCCTGTCTGTGCTAACTTTGGACCTTTGAATGCTAAGATGCTGAGAACGTCAATCTTTGCCACAAACAAACTTTAGAAACCAATCAACCCTTGCTGTTCCCCTGGACCATTGCTCTAATGCAAGCCAATTTCTAAAAGCAGATTTCTAAATATCATTTTCTAGCCAGCAGGCAGGATAGGTTAGAAATTCATTAAAGAGAACACAAATTTATTTTTTTCTCTCGTTCTGATCTTCCTTTCATATATTTTATAGCATAGCACAAAAGAATGGAAATAAAGTGTTGAACTTGCATACCTCCTGTTTTAAAGTTTAAGAAAAAAGTAATAAAAAATCAATTCTGTGAGCTCTTTAGTGTACAGATTAGGTGCTTCTCTAGTGGGCCACTGTACTTTCAAGTGAACTTCAGAGACTCTTATTAACAACTGGATCCTAAGGATAATACTTTTCAATAGCTTGAACAGCCAGTGTATTTTCAGTAGTTTAGTGCTGTGCATTTCCCTACTCTCATGGTAAACATACAGCATTGTTAGAAAATCTACGTACTTTTTAGAAGCAAGAGAGATTTTTAATTTGGGGTCAAGCAAGAATAGATCTTGTATGTGCCTTTAAAGAGAAAAATCCATGTAAAGTGGTCTCTAAAAATCATGACTGTACTCTTACATTAAGGAGACACTCATGAACCCGTACAGGGCTGACCAACTTCCAGGCCAGTAGGGACAACTCACTGCATGGGCCACTGTCCTAGGGGCCACATGTGGTGTTGTCTGCAGATTGAGGGCCACTCACCATGTAGACAGTTGCGTTCCTCTCCCTACCTATCCCCCATTGTGCGTACAGCATGGCAGCTTGTCTCTCCCTGGCCCAGCCATGTATGATCTGAGGGGCAGTTCAGCTTCCCACCTCCCAGCTGTATGTGCCAATCCCCACTGCATGTGCAGCACCCACATGCCATGTGGGCAGCCCAGCTGCTGCCTCTCTTGCATGCAGTGTGAGCAGCCTGGTCCCCTCCCTTACTGGCTCCTATTATGCTGCCCCATTTTGGGGAGTGAGGGCAGGAAGTAAAAGCAGGGGAATGGAAACAGCCATGCTGGGAGTCCCAGTACCATATGTAACCCTTCAGGGTGCATGTGGTCCATGAGATGCCATCTGAACAGTCTTGAGCTGGTAGGTAACATGAAGGGATGGAAATCAAGAAACCTGAGACTAAACAATGATCCTAATTACATTCAGGTAAATATGCCTCCTAGTTACTTTTCTTGCAAAATGGAGCTCTGTGTGTGTGTGTGTGTAATGATGTTCACTAAGGGCACCTATACAAATGCAGTGAGGCTGCTCTAATGTGCTGTAATTACAGTGTATCAAAGCAGACTTAATTAATCTGCTCCAATGTGCTCCAACTCGATTAATCGAGTATACTGGAGCATGGTAATTACCGTGCTCCAGTAGAATCCAGTGTCATGTGTATCAGCATCCCTGTGCTGAATAATGGTGGCAGGGGCAATTTAACTGAAGTTTATTCAACAAGCTTTAGCTAAAGTATCCCTGCCACCATTTTTCAGAGTAGGGATGCTTATACACATGATGCTCCAGCTCCTTACTTAGAGCGGCTCTTGGAACTGCTCTAATTAAAGCGCTGCCTACTCCCAACTCCCAGAGCTCATGTATAAACACCCTTAGATTTCAAAGCACTTTGCAAATTTATGGTTGCTAAGCACTAAATTAAGTTTCTTATAAAGTTTCTTAATGTTTTTATCTCATTGTTTATACACTCTCACATTTTTGCACTCAGCTTCATTTTTAACATATAACTGGTGGAGACCATGAAATCCTTATTAAAAATTATTACTTTAAGAGTCCAAATCATGGAATTTTACCATTGCAGCTTCTTTAGATCTTACTGTTAATGCTCCATTATTTGCTTTTTAATACTATAGAAATGTTAATTCAATTATATTATTTGAAAATAAGAATGTCAATTGGGGAAAATTCTTGAGAAACAAGTAACAGGCAGCAATGGTTTACTGTGTTCCCTCCTCCCTGTCAGGGCCCTGCCCCCAACTGCACCATGCTATGCCTAATGTATCTGAATCATGGTAGATATAGGAAAGTGCTACAGAATATAAAACTTAACCTGGGTCTACAGACTGAATACAGTCCTATAGAGTTTACTCTAGAAACACTTGAATACAGAAATTAGTAAATTCAATCAAGATGCATATTTGTTTTTTCATTTTTCTGAACAAAAAAACCTCTATATAATAGACACCTCAGCTCTTCCTGGAGTAATGTGATCATCTCTCTTTGGCATTAAGTTGATTCATTCCTCCAGCCAAATTGACCTTCACATCTGTTAAGGATAGCTAACCTGAAAAGTGCTGTTTCTATATACATCTAAATATTTTAAACACTGTATTAGTCTTGACATTTTCCTTAGAAAAATTTCAAAATGAAACTTTTTGTTGCGCTGAACATTTCAGTTTTTCATTTTGAAAACAAATTTATTGTTTTCATATTTTAAAATCCCTTAACATTTTAAATTAGATAAAACATTTCAGCATTATAGAAACATTTTGATTGCAACAAAATAATGTTTTAAACTTTATTTTGCAGGAAATTTCAATGTCTTTTATGTTAGAGGAAAAAAGTGATGGCTTGGAATTTCCCACACTTAAAAGAGAATTCCTTTCTCAACAGGTAGGCTTTCAAGGTGATGGGATTTAAAAAATAAACAACTAGCTTATCGGAATAGATTACCTCTTCCCATGGCTCATCCTTCCCAAGCATTTCTCTTGAAGGCCCATTCATTCTGATGGCAGGTACAAGCATCTAACTTAAACAAATTTACTTGCTGCTCCATCGCATGAAAAAATATGAATAGGTAATGAATGCAGCTGAGTGAATAGTGGAACTCATTTCCATGAGTATTTGTTTTTATTGCAAAGTTAATGTTGACTCAACTGTGTTTGCAACCCTTGTGCATTACCTCCAAAAAATATTTAGATGGTCAGACTTTCATAGTATGAACACAAAAGTGAACTTTTAGTTTAAATGTTTGAATATCTTCCAAGAGTAAATATCATTGTATATTTGATTGTAAAATTTACATTGTACACTCATGTTGCCATGCTTGCTTACACAAATCTCATGAAATTCTTTCTGCTCCTTATTGGGTGACATATGTAACTTACCAATATAGTGTGAGCTACAAGTAGTACAACCTTATATATGGTAATAGTTGATTGAAAAACATTAATAATTCTGACTACTACATACATACATAAAGGGCTGCTTTTTTTACAAACATTTGGCAAGCAGGGGAAAAAAGGCAAATTGATCAGATAAATCACTGTGAATTATTTGCTTAGTTATAACAATGAGAATCTTGGCCAGTCTCCTTAATAATAACTATATGAATCAATTTTTATTAAATTTACCAAGTTCTATTTTGTCATATTAAAATACCCATATTGGGAGAGGGTTTTGTTCTTTTTTTGTTTAATTTAGATTTTTTTTACACTGTAAGATTTAGGATCCTGTGGTCTTTTAAAAGCTTTTAAACACTTTTTAGCTTTTATTTTGTTGTCAATTTGAACAAGAAGGGCTGTCATTATGTCAACAGTTCCTATAAAATTGCTGTGACTTGGAAGATAGCAAATCACTTGAGTGACAGATTTTCTTATTTTTTCTTACATTTTTTAGGTAGAGAATGGTGAAAGAATGACCAAATGTTTGCCATTTGGATGAACAATCGTACCCTGTTCTGTACTGTTGAATTCTACATTCCTTTTAATTTACAGCCCATTAAAAAGAGCACCTAAGATCTCATTGCATCAGGAGGCAATGAGCATGGCAATTGTAAGTAGTGTTTGATACCATGACACGTGTTCTTGGCTTTTGTGGAGAGAGATGCATAAAAATGACTTCAAGAGAAATTAAGGAAGCTCAGACTTGACTTTGGAAGTGTTTGCTTTCTAAACGGACACAGCTGACAATAATAATTCCTTCCAGAATGTTTATTCTTTGAGACAAATAGGATCTTGATATTTCTAATAGTTCCGTATTTGTGGGTCTCCAAAATAACAGGGTTTGCTTGTAGCTCAATTATTTTCATTTTTAATTCCTCAGGAGCTGTGAATTATTAAAAAAAATATAGAGAAATATTTAGCAATTCTCAGGAGAAATCTATGTATATAAAAAATATTTCAATTAGCTCAATTAATGCCTCTTTGTCTTGAAGATTCTGTTCTCATGTAAATGCTCAAATTAGGAAAGAAAGAAAAGAAAAAAGAAAGATAAAATAAAACATGTAAAAGAATTTTCTCTAAATAGAATAAATTTGAATTTTTAATTAGGTTTTTATCACCAAACTAGGTCCTTACTTTAGCTGACTGCTATAAAAAATCTTAGTTTTGCAACTCATCGGACTTGTTTCAGAGACTCAGCTGTTCTCTCATTCTAAAACAGCTTGATAAAAGAAATATAGCATTTATACTTGTGTGGTGCCATAGGCTCCTGCATAGAAAGGGCCAAGGCCTTGTTACATGGTAGCTTTAGGTGGCTTCTGGAGCTCTTAATCCCTGGACAGTCTGCACGTTAACACCTTTTAAATGGCTTAAAGCATTCTTTATTCGGTTTAACATTACTCCACTCCAGGGCAGGATTATCTTGAATCTACCTAATTTTGCACCTGTTTTACTAACTTGTGGCTACTCTCTGCAGCTTTTCCACCCAAGTTGAAGTCCTCCAGCAGCCCAGGAGGCAGTAGGCCCACTGTGCCTCCCACCTCCTCTTGTTCCAACAAGCTCTGCTCCCAGTTCTGCATCCCACTGGGAGCAAAGCCAGCTGGGTCCCAGCAGGGAGGGTACTGCATAACTTGGACCTGGCTCTGCTCCCTTCTGGGAACTGAGCCAGCTGGGTCCCAGTAGGGAGCTGGGTCTAAGTGATGTGGTCTCTCCTTCCTTCCTCCCCCCACCCCATGCTGCTGGGACCTGGCTGGCTCTGCTCCTGGCAGGGAGTGACATGATTCCCTCCCCTACTCAGACCGGGCTGGTGCCTATCCATTCCCTAGTTTGTTGTCGTGCTCAGCAAGCCTCTAGTGGCAAGTCACAGCTGTGCAGGTGAAGGGCCATCAGAGCAGGTTTTTTGCCTAAATGTGTGACTGCTCCACTAAGCCAAACAGCACTAAGATGATTAACATTTGTTCATCTTACAGCATAATGTCTAACAAGCACCTAAGATGTAAGGCTTTAAAAATATAAGCGGGTGGCCCCAAACCCTCACTAGTGAATGTGGGAATCTTTTGTAATATTCCTCTTACCATTATGTCTGACTCAGTCTCCCCATCATTCTGCATGATGCTATGCAATGGAATTGAGTGAATTAACTGGGGGGAAGTGAGATGTAGGTATCTGCAGTATCTATGTAGAAAGGGCTATCAAGAACTGAATGGGCTCATTCATCTGAAGAAGCAACATCTTACTAATGGCAATGACAACTCGAAGCACCCAAGAATAACTTTTAACAAGTTGCTTCCTGGAACTGAATAAGAAAAACCTGGGATAGATTATTTTAAAAAAAGGCAACAGTGGGGAAGAGGGGAGAAATTCCACCCACCAACATCTTTCTGCAGTGGTAAGAACCCAGTTAAGGCCTTATATCCCACTGATCTCAGCTTAGGGAAGGAGGAGGAAAAGAGCGTGTTTCTGTGAGTTAAAGACTGAGGTGGGTTCCTGTATGCCTTGGCTTCTTTAAAGAATAGTATAACTATAGAGCAGGATTGCCAACCCAAGAACATTTATTTTACTGACAGTCCACAAGCCTTTTACTGACAGATGTTTGTAGTACTGTATAAATGTAACGCTTCTATCATACCCCAGGTCCTAATCTGAAGGGCTGGGTTCAAATTTAGAGATTTGACATTAACAATAGTGAAAAGAAAACCTTGGCAGTAGAAAGTCTGTAGTGAAAAAAAATATTGGATTGGCAACCCTGCTTTACTGTAGTGGTGATTTTACACTGTGCTGTCCCTGCAACCAACCCCTAACTTTACCCCCCACCCTCCCTCCAGACAGCCTGCCTGTGAGCCAGCAGCATTACAGGCAGCCTGAGAAGCAGCAGTACATGGCTAAAAGAATATTCCCTGGAGGGTGCTGCACTCCCTGTTGGACTTCAGGTTGTGTTGCCATGCTGTCTGCTGGAAATTCAGTCAAGCTGTGGGCTGCTTAATGTATTTGCTGATGGCGAAAGTTTTTTTTCTGGATTTTGTGAAAGCCATTTTTAGCCTGATTTTTTTTTTTTACTGACATTCAGTAAATTTACTGACATTTAGCAACCCTGCTACAAGGACTGCTTGGAGGCAGTGAACAAGTGGCCTGCCAGGTACAGCAGGCATAGTCAGGACATGACTAAGGAGACTGCAGCAATGACCCTCGGATCCAGTAGTAATGGTGAGGATTGCTTGAATATGAAACTACTGAACACAAAGCAACAGCCCATACAGAAGTTTCTGGCAAGGGCCTCCCAGCACGACACCTGAGCAGCAGTTGCTTCAGCTGGAAGGAGCTCTGATAAGTGCACATCCCACAGATGCAAAAGATCAACTTATAGGGCTAGAAGGGATCTTAAGATGTCCCTAACTCCCTGCCTGAAGCAGGATCATCCTTATTTAAACCATTCTCAATTTGGACCCTGTTAAACTAGGAGAATGAAGTATAAAGGGCAGAGGGCTCTATCCGGCTATCTTATTAGCTCTCACAGCAGTAGAAAAAGAACTGACTCTGGCCTAGTGCCAAAGGACTTTGGGAATAACCTCAGTTCTTGTTAGTTTATCACTTAGTTTTCCTAAAACTATTTGTTTAAAATTATTTGTTTGCTTAATTGTGCATTTTCCTTTTCCCTTTAATAAAATACTGTTTTTGGTAACCTCTGGGGCTCCTTGCTTGTGAGTATGCTTACCATGAGTACCCAAATGGTATAATTTAGTTTTCTCAAATGTCTGGGGTTGGGACTTGCATGAATTTATATTTCCATTAGTAGAAAAGCCTTGAAATTTGAGTGTAGCTCTTGTTGCTGCCAAAGGGTGCCTGGAAGATTGGTTAAGTAACCACTGAAAACATTTTAACATCTGAGGACCTGACTCCCACTTACACTGAGGTGCCTTTACACTCTTCTAGCATATACAAAGGCGTTTAAGTGCATGGAAATTATTTATGTTGGCTTTAAAGTAAATTAAAGAGGTTTTACTTTAAGTGATCTTTAAGCCCTCGGTGTTCCTTGTACAGATAGAGAAGAAAAAGCAGTAGAGCCTGCACCACCTCTTATACGATGAAGGAAGTTTCCAGTCTTTTGCAGTATACTGTAGTGGGAAGAAGTGGTGCATCTGTAGCATTCTAGCATGCCATACTGCATCTGACTTCTGCACGGTATAAAGGAAGCACCTACTTACTTACATCCACTTGTCTTTCCTTACTTGGAGTGGTGGGTTACAGTTTAGCTGCATGGGTTAACTTTGAAATGGATTAAAAGCTCCATTGGGTGGCTCTAGGCACCCAATGGAGCTTTTAAGGAGTTTATAGCTTTAGCCGTCTCCTTATAAACTGCTTGCTTTTCTCAGGGTCAGACCCTTATTTTGTGCACTGCATTGATTTACTTTCAGTGTCCACCTAGATGAACATGTAATTTCAGCCATTAAAGATTAAACAGTCTGAGAGATGTGAAATGGCTGCAGATAATTTACAATCTAGAAGACAGAAGAGCTGGTATTAAGACATCAGAATTAGTTGACTCCAAGCTGGAAGTTTCCACGTGGCTTAATCTCACACAGCTCATATGTTAGTAACAGCAAGTTACTTCCTTCTTTCTATTTATCTCAGAAGTTTCAACAGGGCAAGCTTATAGCATTGTTTTCTGTTTGGTCGTTGATATATTGGGCTGGATGGATTTAGTAACTGATTTTTCAAGAGTGAGGTCAATGGTGAGCTATTCATACAAATTCAATGTCAGTGCAATATGCCACCATTTTAATAATATTTTGCCTGCTGTAAACTCATGTGGAAGATGACTAAATGATGATAAAAGATGAAGAGCAATGGCATAGTAGGCCTTTAGTTTATTTGTTCACATGGAGCCCAAGGTATGCTAGGCATTTTAACAAAGAAAGAAGGCAGAGCTAACAATCTAGATTTGACTTGTATAGTGTTGCTATTTTTCCACCTGTACTTTATTATTAAAGAAGCCACTAACTTCTTTTATGTATTGTTTCCTTCTTTGTTTATACTAAGTGCTTATAATGTATTCCCTACTGTAGTAATTCTTTTTTCTCTGCCCTTTAAAATGCCTCTTCAACACTTTAAAGTAAATCTCATTTAAAAGGGTTTAGTATCTATTGCCTTTCTGTCATAAACTATGTCCACAAGGATATCCGGATAATAAAAAGGATACAGTTGGTAGTTACATTGCTTCTTTGCATTAAAAACAATAAACATGAAGTTTAGTAACCTTTATAATTATTTGTTGTTACCTTTGGGCATGAATATGTTTCTGTCAAAAATCTGCATTTTGTTTAAATGAATGTAGTGTTGTATAGTTCATTTAATTACAAGCCTTAAGCTAAGTTGTTTTTGCATCAAGGGTCTGATTCAATGAAGTGTTGAGAGCCTCTTGTGCTCTGAAAATGGGATTTGCAGCAGCAGGTGGTCTTGCTGAATACAGATTGGGAATAAATGTTCTGAAAATGTAGGTTTGACTTTCAACAGTTCTGTGCCTTCTGAGAATTTGAAAATGGGGAGAGGCCCACGCATGGGAGCCATGCTTTTATTTTGGCAATCAGTCACCACTGCTATGGAGCATCTGGCAACAAGAAAGCCATGTATAAGCTTACTTGCTGTTTCCATTTACTCTTCTCAGGAGCGTAAATGTTTTTTAATGACTTCCCCAGGGACGGGCAACGTCAGCAGTAAGCCCTATAAGAGGTGTATGATGCTGCTCGGTTACTATCTGGCCAGTATGTATGCCTTCTATTTCATTTATGTTCCCCTTAAGGCACATTCAGGCACTCTTGCCTTCAGAAACAAGAAGTGGTATAAAAAGTTCAGAGTGGAGTTTTCCAGTTGGTCCAGTCTTATATTAAGATATTAATATGACAGCTACGTGTGGATTGAGAACTGTAGTCACCACGAAATATTACAGGGGTAAAGAACTAAGAGCCATATTTTTCCACTAACAGCCATATGTTTGCTGACTCCCTGGATGTCCATAAAAAAAGCTTTGAGTTAAAGAGCCAATGACTACAACAAACACCAAATGGAGTGAATGTTATCTGTATGAGCAATAGTAAGTAAAACATAGTCTGAAAAGGGGGGAGGGAATGTATTTAATGACAGAAAGATCTCATGATTGGGTACCCTGTTAACATGCCAAAGCCACAGGGCATGGAAAGAGATTCTGTAGTGTAGCCTGGGAAAACTAACTATGAAAACTATGAAAACAATTTGGCTTATGGCCATGTATAATTTGTGTCTAGTGGCCAGATGGGCACCACAGAAGTCTGCTAACATGAAGCTTGCTTGTGGCTACATGGCAAAATAAGGGGCTTAGAAGATGTAGCACTACCAGAGGGGATCTGTGGACATGTAAATGGGGGTAAGAAGAGGACAGGAGGAAGAATTTAAAAAGCAAATTATTGTAACAATCCTTTGGTGTGGTCTCAGATAACATGGGTTCTAAAGTTTATAGGCTAATGTACAAATCTTTCCTCTTCCTTTAGCTAGGAAACAGTATTTTTAAATGAGGAGTCCAAATCCTCTGAGGCTGATGGAATGTCCCCGATTCAACTGTTTTACAAAAAGGGCAAAAGATTAATATTCACTCTAAATCAGGGGTGGGCCACATAGGCAGTTTTGGGGAGCTGTTGTGGGCCTGCCAGCACCCCTCCCTCACCCTGCAACAGCCTGGAGTCCACATACGCTGTGGCTCCTCTCTGCCACTACTACTACCAGTGCCCAGCAGCAGCTGAGCGCACAGCCCCAGCCCACCCTGCACCCACTCCAAACTCACCTTGGCTAGAGAAGGCCAGCTCTGGACTAGCCAGGACTCACAAGTATAGCCCTGCCCCTGCCCCAGCCTACCCTGTGCCTGCCCTGGACTGGCCTGTCCATGATGAGTGGCAGTGGCCATGTTCAGGCTGAAGCTGCACTGGGTATGGGGGAAAAGCAGCTACCTCCCCATCACCTCTACCGGGCCCTTCTTAATGCGGCCACCTGGAGCCTGCACCTGGGCTTGCCTGTGGCTCCTCTCCACTGCCACTGTTGCCTTGCTAGGTGGTTCAGAGGCAGTCCTGGTAGCAGCAGTGAAGAGGAGCCCCAGCCTGAATGGGTGATCTGGGTGGCTGTAGCAAGAAGGGCCCAGCAGCAGTGAGAAGGGCCCAGCCCAGCTTCTGCCCAGCCGCTGCTGCTGCAGCTGCCACTCATCAAGGGCAGGTGGTCAGGAGTGGGTGTGGGGTGGCTCAGGGTTGAGGCTGTGTGTATGGGTCCCAGTTGGGTAGGAGCTAGTCCGCTCTTGTTGAAGCAGGTCTGGAATGGGCATAGGGTGGGCTGGGTCTGTGCACCTGAGTCCCTGCCACTGTCCATGGGGTTGGGGCTGGCAGTGGCAGCAGCTGGGAGGAGCTGCCACTGCCTGGGCTGCTCAGACCTGGAGTCCAGCTGTGGAGCCACCCAGCCCCGCTGTGTGCTTGGGAGCAGTGGGATGCACCATGGGCTGGACAGTGCCTGGGCCAGGCAGGACCAAGGGATGTGCTATGGGCTGGATAAAGTCCCTCCATGGGCTGGATCCAGCCTGCGGGCCATATTTTGATCACCCCCTGCTGTAAATCCTTTAGGCCAGTTATTTTTTTCTTTAGGGTCTCAGTCACTTTACTTGAAAGAGACAGGATCCCAGCAATTTTCTGATTAAGAAGCTTTGATCTTCCAGAGAGGGAAAAGAAACAGTATCTTGTGACACAGTTGACCAATCATATGCAATGGCTATATTCAATGAGCAGAGTGCTCTGTTTACAATTAGCTGTATGAGCTATAATTTAGGCACAAAAATGATTTCTGAAGCAATTGCAAATAAACAAATTCGAGAAAATCATGCTAAGCTCCTGGAGAAAATAGTGATGAATTGTTATAAATAATTCATCTAGTTCTGCTTAAAATAAAATAATCTTTTCTGCAGACAATACATCCAGCTGAACCAGAACTTTTATCCATTTAAAATAATACAATTAACTGAATTGATTCTTTTCAGGATCAGGATTCTTTAAGCATTCAGGTTTAGGAAAGCACAATAAAAACAGATGAGCAACAAGGAGCAAATGATCTAAGTTAAGCTTTTAATATTCCATTAACTGCTGTTGGATGGAGGTTACTTTACCTCAAGAGAACATTAGGTTTTTTGGCTTTTTTAAAATCAAATCCCTGCTGTGAAACCCTCCAAACCTTAACTCTAAATTTAAATTTACTTTTATTGTAGATATGTCTTAGAAGCAGGAGTTGAGAGGAATGGCATGCATGCAGAGAGGCTCTGGAAGTAGAAAACCTGCAGCCTGTTCATACCCTTCAGCTGCAGAAAAGAATTACACTGCTGCCCTGAGGCAGTTGTCACATTTTACAGTATCCCATTTACACATCCATGGTGTGCTCCTTTGCAAATACAGATCTGTTTTATTACTGTGCATGTGTTTTTCTAGAAATATATCTGTTCCTCTGGTTGGATGGTTTGCATACTACTTACTGCCATGTTTTATAAAAATAGACCAGCTCGAGAGCTCGCTGTTGGCATGAGAAGCCATTGTTGTGGGAATGGATAAGGAATCCTAGCCTTGATCCTAGCTTTCGAAGTTGGTAGTTACTGGAGGCATGCTGTAATTGATGTCTGTAGGTCAGAAGAAACAGAGGGATTAGTGTGATGGCCAGAACCAGAGGGATTAATAAGCAATAAATATGTGCTTCTTGGAGGCATTTAGTATTTTGTCTAATAGGGAATATTAGCTAATATAAAGCTTGTAAGCTTGTAACCCACAAATGTAACTTGTCTGTCATAAATTTAACCAAAATGATAAATCTAACTGTTTGTATTAATCGTGGAACTGATTGGGCCCCAAAGGCGAAGCTGTAGCTGCAAGATTAGCTGACCTAACGGTTTTTCCTTGACGATAAAAACTGGATCCAATCACCTGGCACACCCAACACATTCCAGGAAATCATGTCCCCCGCAAAAAAGCATATTCAGAGAAACCTAAAAGGGTTGGTCTTAGTAATGTTAATTTTAAATCTAAAGATGTTGCATTATAATTTGCTTATTGGATAAATGTGAGTTTGGGTAGTAACCTTGTATGATAATTTTAACACCTTTTAATCCCATAGGGTAGCAGCTATAGGGCAAGATTATGAGTGGCTGTAAAACCAAAAGATTAGCATAAGAATAGGTATAAAAAGCACGTGCATCAGGTGACCAGTAGGAGGGAAGGAGGAAACAGAACAGTCACTGCTGTTCCAAGCCCGGACTCCGGACTCCCGGTGTGAGGATCGGATCGGATCGGATCCTGATCAAGGGATCTTCCCCAGTAATCCCTCTGAAAGCATTGATTGGGGACGCTTGATTTCGCCGGAATCACTGGGCGTGCACCTGGCATCAAGGGATTATCAACAAGTTGCCAACCCTTGTCTGTCTATCTGCTGTTTTAAACAGCCCAGTGGCTGATACCCTCGCAGTGCCCAGCTGGCCTGTGACAGACTTGATCCATCTATCTGTTGTTATTATCTGTTGTTATTATTTACTATTAGCTCTTTAATACTGCATTATCTGCTTATCACATTTATCTTCCTGTTAACTGTTGTGTGTGTAAGCTATAATAAATTTGCCTTTGCTTCACTCCCAACTTTGCCTCCTCAACCTGAAACCGAACCAAACAGCTCAGTGGTGATACCCTCGCAGTGCCCAGTTGGCCTGCAATAAAATTGATACACTCACAGTGCCCTGTTGATCTGTGACAGATTAGTGTGATATGATGGGAGTTGATTGATGAGATCTCTAGAGATGCTGAGGATTTACAGGAGTGGATTTACAATGCCAACTTTTGAAGAGCAACTCAGGGTCTCAGGAGGAGCTTTTATTTTATTTCTTTACATTTTTCACTAATTCGTCATCCCTTTGGACAACTTTCTCTTTGTCACTTTAAGTTATTGTTCTTTTCCTTTTTATTTTTTCCCACAAAAATCAGGCTCCCCTTATATGGTCCCCACCAGCTACTTCTTTTTTTCATAGGCTTCCTTCTGTGTGTTTGAATTCTGTGAAGCCCAGAAGCCAAAACCAAATGTCCAGAAGAAGGGCACTCTTCCCAATTGCTTGTCTAATATCTCTCCAATCTATTCTCATTTCAAAATGGCAGCAGGGACGCTTTAACTAAAACTCATTGAACAAGCTTTAGTTAAAGCACCCCTACAGCCATTTTGAAATGTGGGATGCTGGCACTGCAGTGTTTTAATTAGAGTGGCTGTCTGGGAGCTGCACATGCATAGACATCCTACATTTTTTAGTCTCCCTCTGCAATGTTGCCCTAAAATTACAATAATAAAACCCTGATCATTGGACTTGTAAAGTATGTTAAAGAAAAAATAAACACCTTTGTGTTACACCAGAACAAAGAATCTTAAAATATACTGGTGGAATTCTTGTGCAGTAGGTAGAATAGGGATGTAGATACCCTTCAAGCCAAGGTGAAGGCATTCAACCTAAGCCTTTCAAGGGTTTCTGTTAAATTTTATTATATTGAAAATCAATTATCATGAAAAACAAGGGTTTTTTTTGCAGGGGGAAATTGTAATAACTGGATGCAAACAAACAACTCCCCTTATTAATTAACTAACTGACAACTACAGCAACACCTTTGTGGTAAAAATATTACTTCACCTTTGAGGGGGAAAATTATGTGCTTCTAAATATGGAGAATGCATGTTGTTATAGTTCACCCTAATCTGGCTTTGATTTAAATTAATTTATGAGTTTTGGTAACAGTAGGTGCTCACTTGAATGATTTAGCCTGTAGAAGCACTGGTTTGTAAAGAAGTACTTCCCAAGCTATTTTACAGAATTGGCTATCATGAATATATTCACTGTTAAATGTGGTATTGTTTGAGAGCAACACACACACAGCTTTTGAAAGCACTGCGGTAGTAATAGGGTTAAATTCTGTTCTGCTACCTGATAAATGGAATAGAATCAGGTCCATAGCATGAAATTTACTGAAGGGTTTTGGTTTTCTAATATTAATAATAATCTGGCAGCCTGAAACTAAGCACAATGCCAAGCACAAGTAGTAAATCCTTATAGGATTGGACACTCACACAATATTTATTTTTCCAGAAAGATGGGACCTTTTGGGACTGCATATATTTCTACAGAATACTATAGACATACAGTGGGACAAATTATGTGAGATAAATGCAGAGGGTACTTATTTGAGATCATTCTTGTCTGTAGATTAAGTACTATAGAAGCACAAATTATGTTACCCGGAGAGAAAAGTTGCAGGAGTCACAAGCAAAATAATGGCTTGATGGTGTAAAGCAGCACTATTGCATGTCCAGCTACAGTAATTCTTTATCAAATTTCACACCGATACCTACACATGAAATGCCTAACTCTTATGATTTGTGCTTCCTTTTCTGTTAGATTATGTTTGTTTATATTCCAGAACACACACACACACACACACACACTCACTAATTCTCAATGTACAACATATATAAGGTGGTATGAAGAACAACTCAAATGTGTGATAGTCATTATGTATCAATAAGCTTGTCATTTCATTTTATTTCTTTGTGGTCTATAACTTGGTAAAATCTCATCATCACAGCACAAAGCCACAGGACTCTAGCTTCCAGCCCAGCTTGGATATGTTGGACATAATGAAAAGGAGGAAGCACTGTATGGCATGTTAGAATTAGAAACTGGCTGCCTCTCAAAGGCTCCCCAGGTTTTCCTGGTTCATTAGCCAAACCTGACTTGCTAGAGTATATTACTCCCTCAGTTGTACTTTTGGCACAAAGTTAATGATGGAACCGACTGTCTGTTCCTCTTCCTCTTTCTCATCCTTTTCTGAATGAACTGTGAAACAGCAGGAGTCAAAACAGATAGCAGGAACTAGAGAATATACAACATGGACTGTGCTGAAAGTGGGAATAGCAATATCATCATTTCATCAGACAGTGAAACCTTATTATATAACAACAATCCTAAATCTAAGGAAATGGAAAAGGAAAAAGGGTTTATCTAATGAATGAGCCAATCAGGGTGAGGGGGTGTCAAACAAAACACAAACAGTCAATACAAAAAATTACCATCCAGGAATCCTTCCTAATGTGGAAGAATTGTCTGACTAACCACTTACCTTGTTATGTTAAAAGATAACCTGCATCCTCATGTCTTGAGAGGATATATTTCTGCCTTACCCAATAAAATGCATCCATGGTTCTACCATGATTTAAAACAAACAAGAAAATCACCTTTGGGTATCATGATCATCTTGATGAGAGATTTCACTCTACAAGCAGCTGTAGTGTAACCAAGCAGGAGAGGGGATGGCCACAATAGCAGTTCCCTGGTATCCACTTTGAGGGGAGAGGGGTAGTGTGCAAAACAAGCAGCTGCCACCTGGCTGTTCCACTGCAGCCCCATGTACTGCTGCTACCCAGGTTGCAGAACTACTCTTTTAGGCCTCTGACAAGCAGTGCCTCTATGCAAAGTGCTAATGGACTCAAATCAAGAAAGCAATGGTAATTTGGAACAGTATTAATGGTTTGTCTTCCTTTCTCTTCCAGGGAAGCCTGGTAACAGTGAAAACTGTGGTATAGGATGTTAACAACAAGAAAGAAAAAGACTCCAAACTCTTGAATTGGGTAAGATTTTAATTCCTTGGCCACTCGTGAATAAAAGATATGTTAAAAGTTCTACAAAACAATGACATGACAGTGGTAACTCAGAGTAAGAGAATGTGTGTAAAAGATGAGGAGAGAGTAAAGGTAGAGTAGAGCTCTAAGATTCCAACACCAGTGAGATGAATTGGAGTTTTGAAACTAATTAGAAAGTATTTTTACCAGGTTAAAGTATGAAGATGTTGCTTAGTAAAGAATGTGGTAATGGAAATAAAAATCCTTGCAAAATCCTATTAATTTATTAGCCCCATGCAACATTTTTTTAATGAGTATATAAAACAGTTTTGTTGTCCAACATGTGGGTAGGTAGATTTACCAATTTGGCTAGTAAAATTTCATGATGCTCTTGCAACGCTTCAGTAATCTAGTCTGTAACATAATTTCTACATTAGTTAAATTTGCTATTTAGACTGTGGGGTATACTGTGCTACAAAACAGGTTTATTATATCATTTCCTTCACCTGATACATAGAGATTTCTTGGAATATGTGCTCATAAATATTTTTTCTCATCTCTAAAAGTAGTTCCCCTCCTAGACAACATATATTGAACTAGTGTGGTAATATTGTATTGCACTGAATCCAGTAAATAACCATGAGAATGAAATGTGTACTCTTGAAGCCCTTACCTTCAAATATCTGTTCAGAAGATGAAATGTAACTTTCCTTTGGGATTTTCTTTTGGTTTGGGGAGCAGTTACATTAAATACTCAATGCATAAGGCAAGTATGAAAGCATAAATCAAAGTGACATCAGTCAAACACAAAAACATAAATCAAACTGACATGAGTTAAATTACAAAATGTATATGGACTCTAAAACTGATTGTAATTCTTCTCTCTCTCTCTTTTTTTAAAGGGACTCAATATGACATGGTAACAGAAAAAATTTAGACACAGGAGACCAGGAAATAAGCTCCCTAACATATTTTTTCTATAAATACATGCCTTTTTTTAGAATGCTTCATGACAACTGCTTCTATTGCTGCTCTTGGTGGCTTTTCATTCTTTAGATTATGGCTACATACACATGTTTAAATGACCTGGGAGAATTCTCCTAACTTTGTTTTTCTGCTAGAAAATCTTACCTGGAGACTCCTGGACAGAAATTTGAATTATGAGCCCTTGAAGAGCAGAAATTTGAATTATACTTGCATTGCTGACACTGTGCAGCCAGGGGGACCCTGTGTACATATCTAAGCATGCTCTGAAGACTCCTTTAGCCTGTCTGGCACCAGATGGCAGCAATGCATAGGGTAAGCCTGATTGGCTGACTCTGACTGCCTCACAGGCTATGTCTCCCTGCAGCACAATGTGGGGTTTGTGAAGCGGGGATATTCTGCTCTCTGCTTGGCTAGAACAGAAAAGTCCAGCCTGAGTGACACACTCTCTCAGCGGGGTGCCAGAGAAGTTGTGGGAGCAAAGCACCTGGGAGCGCTGGAGGACTGTGCTGTTGCTTCTTTCAGTGGGGTAAGTTGTACAGATATTTGCTCTCTCAGAAGAAATTCTCCTGGAAGAGATTTTATCCTGGTTGTTCCCAAGTTATTCTTTTCCTGGAGTGGCCATTTTTGCTCTGGGAGAAAAATTCTGACTATCTGTACACTTGTGCTTTCCATTAGGAGAGCAGTAACTCTCTCAGGAGAAGCTGAATGTCTTTATGTGGTCTTTATTTGCACTTTTTGTTTTTATATTTTGACACAATCTCCAACTGTTTTCAGATTCTAGAACCTCTGGTTTCCATAGAATTGTTAATACCTCAGTGAAATTCCATCTTAAATCTCTCCTTTCCCAAGGATTATAAATTTTAGATCAGATTAACCCTTTATGTACGCAGCTGAAACTCCTTTGAAGTAAGCGAGATTACATCTATTTATATAACATATTTTAATAGCCTTTGTTTCCTTTAAGAACACATTTCTCTTAAAAATATCCTTGGCTGCTTTGATTCTTGGTGAATGAACTTCTTGGTGATATCTTTCCTGTGCTATTATTTCCATAAAGAAGCTTTAATTCTAGACTGCCTATATGAAGCTGGCTTTTATTTCTAGGAGAAATGTTTCTGAAGTGTTAATAATCTTAGCATCTATCACATGTGAGTGCTTAGTGCTAAGAAGTTTCTCTGTATTAAATTTAATGATTGTTACTAGATCAGATGTGGAGGTTTGCATTTTGATATTAACTAACATGTAGGAGATTGCTGGTTAGACAGCATGGACCAATGGCTATGGGCTATGGCACTACACTGGGATTTAGGGGACTTTTTTGGTTCTAATCCTAGCTGTGACACTGACTTCTTATATAACCCTTGGCAAGTCATTCCCCATCCTGGCTCCCTGTTTCTCACCTTTTGCTGCTTGACTATTTGGACTAAAACATCATAAGGATGGGGACTGTCTTGCACTCCATGTTTGTTCAGTGCCTAACACAATATGACCTTGAAATCAGTGGGGACTTCTGCATTATGATATGATAATATAGATTGTCCAGGCTTTTTGCCCATGGAACATTCCACTATGCCCGAGTTTAATATTGACTGTCTGGGAAGTGATCACATAGAGATGATTTACATAAGGTCAAGTGATCCATCCGGTAATATGGTTGCATGTGGAAAGGTTTTGTTGCTTCAGTATCTCTTGAAAATATTTTAAATCAATCAAGGCTATTCTGTAATGCCACTGACATTGTGGAGTGTAATTTCATTTGGGATCAGGTCTAGTCATTTTAGCAAGTAGCATGCAGAAAATGTTGTCCAGTTTCAGTGTGTAAACAAGAGCAGGGTGCCTGGAAATCTGTTCATCCACAGAAGAGGTAATTTTACTGGATTTATAACCATTTGTTTTCCTTTCTCCTCAATAAAGACTGAAATTTATTCTCGCTGAACAGCTTTTCCTTTAGGCAGGCTCCTAAGGTACAAATACCTAGGCAAGTCACATCCTTCTGAAAGTTTATTTGAACTGGGATGAGGGAAATTGACAAAATACATGTATAAAATGTGCTCAGGAAGTCTAAATTGCTTTTTTATGATAAGAATCTTAACCATTACTTCATACTAAACGGTGTCTTACATCTTAAAAAGTCAGAGGCAGAAAGCAAGTGCATGAAGTAAGGAGGATATATGGGTTAAATAAAGGTACTAGGTAAATGTATTTTGAATATTATTTTTGTCATTCATGAATTATCATATAGAAAGGCAACCACAACAAAAATAAAACCCAGCAGAAATGTCTTCCATCACCTAGGAAAGCTGGAATTAATGTGATATACTGGGTGTGTGTGGGTAATAAAAATTTGTTTTTTCCTAGTGCTACTCCATCTGGAACATGGACATTTTAACCAGAATGTTGTTGGAATTTTTCTTTTTTGAGCTGAATTTTTGTTCCACTTTTCTTAACTTTCTCTTTTCTAAAACAGAGAGCTCAAAATGGCTACAAATGATCTCTAAACCTCGGGAACAAAGAGAGAATGTCTCTTGGAATTATTCTCCATTCTTCTATAATAATATGGACTGACAAATGTCAAGATTCAGCCTGTAAAGTGAGGCAAGGTATCCTGAGAGCAGCAAGCTTTGAGAATGTGACTATGGCAATGGGTGCAGGGGATACAATCTTTCCTCCACTGGGAAATTATAATATCCTACTACCTAGCATTAATAAGGAAGAGGCATGAGCAGGGTGGTTGGGGGAGACAGTTTTTCCATACACTTTTTGTACCGGTTACTAGAAGGTCTCCTATGGTGGCAGCATTCTCCACCAGATTCAAACTTTTGGCCTTCAGTGTGCTGGTATGTGCAGGGTAGCACTTGCACCAGTCTTCCAAGTAGTCCCCAAATACTGGTAATGCAGAACTCCTGCCATCGTTAGGGAAGCAAGAAAAATATCTGAAGAAAAGCTGTTTCAAGAATAGGACCCCAAATTATGTGGGTGGATGAGTGAAAATCCTGCATGATGGTACCTCCAAAAGAACAGAAATATGGCTAAATAATTTTCTGGAGTAAGATCATTTTCTGCTGTAAATCAGAGTTTCTTTCTTAAAGTCAATGGTGTTCTCCAGCCTTACACCCACTAAGTATCTGGTTGCCTTTCTTTACAAATATCATTTGCACCGGATGCTCCTACTTGGAGAATAAAGAGCATAGACATCTCAAATACCAGAGAAACCATCAAAATAAAGTACTGCACCTACTAGTCCACAGCACTAGGATCATAGCCATTGTTTTTTAAATGGCAGAGATGAAATGCCCCTGAAAAACAACAGACGCAGTACAATTTTTAATTTTTTTTTTTTTTTGAGCACCAGAATACCCAATGAAAGAACCTGGAAAGCCTCACTCCCAAAACACAAAATACAGCTAAAAACATCTCCCTCATCCTGTTTATTTTAAAGTGTTAATTCACAAAAAAATCAGGTTCTGGAGTATCTGGAATGTTAATGCATGTTTCTGCTCATACATTAACAGGTACTTTATATATAAGTTAGATGGTCTAATACTTTTTTTTTTGTTAAATATACAGGATA